TATTTTACATTATAATCGTTTCTTTCGAAGTGTATTAAATAAAAATATAACCTAACCAAACATATGTTTTTATATTCATTAGATAAACACAACCAATTTTCTTAAAAAAAGGTGCCTAACTTATCAAATAACGTGTTAAGTTTTCAGTTTTCATTTTTGTTCTTTAAATATACATATCTTTTAAAAACTTGTACTTTCGACATTATGCTTTTACTAACGTGCTGTAGGAAATATATGCATTATCTAGTAAATGAATACATTTACTAGAAATAGTATACATTCTTACATTCGGTTCACACTTCTGCTAAAATCGTACGTAAATGCATACATTGACTAGTAAGTGTATACTACACTTCACGCTTTTACTGTGACATATACACGCTATTATTTCTGTAATTATTTAAAATGCGAAAAAATGTTTCGTGTGAAAGTTGTTTGATTTCATGGAGCAAACTTAATAGAATATAAGAATTTTTTTATAATTGTTATTTACGTAGATTTTAATAACTGTGTCATGTTTTTTAAATAGAACTATGTGTTGATTTAATGTTGTGTTATTAAGCATTTCAAGACGAAGTCAGCGACATATTTGAATATTCTGTTTCAACAATAATGTCTTGGTTGACTGTATGAATATTGGTGGCAATTTCATTGTTTCTTGTCTTCTGAGTCACATATGATGGGTAAAAAATGCTAACTTAAGTTGACATTTGCCAGCATTATTCATACAGTTATCCGTGAAATTATTATACTAACAGAACTTTCACATATTATGTCGTTATGTTCGTCTTCAAATGCTTAATAACAACATTAATAAAACAACGTAGTTTCATTTCAAAAAATTGCATTATTATTAAAATCTCTGTAAATAACATATTTGTAATTTAGAAAACGCCCGCAACGGAGACTTTTCGCCAATCAAGGAGAAATGCGAATTCTCAAATCTACTTCAGTTTTCTTTAAAAATCAGTCAATCACGCGAATCGATACGAGCAACATCAAGTGAACAACAACACGTAGTGTCGTAGTGCTCGCTACTTGTATTTTTACACCAGTCGTACAATATTAATTTACTATGCGACGTGCGTTCGATTACATTGTTCAACAAAATTTTGAAAATTCTACAATGGTCGAGTGAAACTCGTTCTATTTACATGATTTTGTGTATTCCCGAATATACACAGTGGTAATCTCACTTTTAACCCTATTCGTAAGGATTTCTTTTAATTGTAGATATGGAACTGTAAAAAAGATTCAGTTCCTACTTTTGAATGGAATAATCAATATTTTTAACTATTAAATTTTTGCTATAAAAACAGTAAATACGATAGTTATGAAATAGAGACTCTGTGTGAAAGTGTGTATGTGTGTGTGAGATAGAGAAAATGTGAATGTGACCGAATTGGATGTTGGAACGGCCAGAATGTACAACAAGCCAATTAGTTGTCGAAGCTAATCAAAAATATTTATGAAATTTTTCCCATCCTACATTTATATTTTATTTAAATTCATTATTATTTTAATTATTATTTGTGAAATACGATCGAAATGAAGTCAGTAAAATTGTACTAGGTGGAATAACACAAGAAATAAATTAAATTGAACAGCGTTAAATTTATATCTAAAAAGCTAGACTTTCTGACGTGTAAGGGAAAAATTAAAACCTACATCGTGTTCAGCAACCTATAATTAATACAAAGAACCAGGTATCGTTTCATTATTTTGGGACTTGTGGAACAGTATTATTATAAGCGACTTAAACACACGTTGTGTGTCTGTTACTCTACACTAAGTTTTAACGGTAGCGTAAATTTTACTCTTGATAGTAACGCTCAAGTAGATACGTAGCATAACGTTCGACCGAAACGCCTATAAATCACTGCGCGGGTACGTGTGATTGGTGGAAGGAGACATACCACGATACAATCTAATCTGCAAATCTAACTCTTAAATACGCGAATCGAACGTGACACGAATTGAAATATCCTCCCCGATTCTTCATTACTAAACTGCAGAATTCTATGTAAATGACATTTTCTAAAGCAATTTATAAAGACAAGAGCAAATGCATAGGAATTTAATTCTACCATGGAATATCTTATTGGATTCCGAATAAAATAGAAAACTCGTTTGCATTTGATGATAAATTTTCTTTTTTATTATACAAGGGATGTGTACACAGTTCTGGGAATTTTGTTGTAAATTTTGTATCTTATTAATTTTTGTCTATTGTAATTTTTCATGTAATTTCCATTTAACTGTATTCATTTGTCCCAGTGCGAAACTGTTTTTTTTTAGTCTATCTAAAAATATTTGTTGGGAGTTTTCATTAAGTCATTTAAATCCTGAAATCGCACACCACGTGGAGGTTTTTCCAATTTTGGAAATAAATGATAGTCGCTAGATGTCAGATCAGGCGAATAAGGTGGATGATGAGGGTAATTCTCAACGCAATTCATTTAAAACTAATTTTTATATTTTATAGGATTTACTGAGGAGATGTTAAGTTTGATGTGAATATAATTTAATTAAACACAACACTTTTACAACGCTTTAAATATAACAATACGAACATAATTTGTTTATAATAACACAACACGACAACTCAGAGTAACAACTCGGAATGAATGAATAATTGATAACGCACAACAAGAAGAATAACGAAATCACTCCACTCTCAACTAGCTTCGCGAACAATCAATACAATATACATACCGAGTGACACTCTTTTTTTTTATCCAATAATTTATTTTTTTAAACAGATGTATACGCTTTCTTTAATTAATCCCTAAATGTTACCAAACACAAAGTTTTCATTGGTATGAAATAATTATAAGAATTTATCAAAAAACATGGTGACTTTATAGAAATTTCGCCCAGTGTATAAGTAGAAAAATTAACCAAATCCAAAAGATTTGTTATTATTCGAGTAAACCTATAATTTTATCTTTAATTAGGTATTAACAAAAGTGCAAAAGTAATAACAATTAAATTATATTTTACCCTTTTAATGTAAGACATGCACAAGGAGCTATGTATTTCTGATCACCTATGTAAACCATGTACCTGTGCCTCACTTTTAGCTATCAACTTTTACGTAGAAATTTCAAAATAGTTTATACAATAGGGTATGCTACAGCGAACAGTTTTTAATATTACAATCAGAATGCTACAACGAACTGATGTGCGGTAGTAAACGTAGGCAAAAACGATCTGCCATTCTGCCGATTGCCCCAGTCCGCCTTCGTTACCATGGTAAAGAAACAACTGACGATACGAATCTGTTAATAATAGTGGCGTGGATAGTATTAGAACGTCAATTGCCATATTTTGCTATAGTTTGTGAAATGACATACAATATTTTAATGTAAATGCTACAATGGACAGATGCTATAACGAACGAGGTTTTAGAACTAATTAAATCGTTGTGGCATACCCCAATGTAATTATTTAATAATTTTTTTAAATAAATGTTTATCAGATTAAACTTATTATATGGTATCTACAGTGGGTAAAAAAAGTATTCACACATCCTTTAAAACAGAACAACTTTCTTTTTTCATTGGACCAAGTCACTTGAGTTTTTTTTGTGAAATTGCGTCAAACAAATTTTTAAAAAGTTGCGAAGAAAATTTTAAAGGTCGCTTTTAAATAATTCTTTTATCTGACTCTAATGAAAATTTAAAAATTACATTTCTTAGATTCACGTTAGTTATATACATGTTGAAAAGTTCATCGAAATCGGTTAACGTTGCTATGAGATACAAACGGTTAAAAATGTTGAAAGTTGAAGTTTTTCATGACTTTCGACCTACAACTGTAGTAAATCTAAAGATTTGTATGTCTTTCGATGCCTGTCGCCCGTTTCTGCATCAACCGATTTCAATGAAAGTTTCAGCATGTACATAACTAACATAAATCTTTAAAATGTATTTATTAAATACATAGTAGGGGAAAGGTGCCTAAAACGATCCTTTTAAGGCGTCATTTATATAAAAAATACAAATACTCATTAAGTAGTTTGTGTAAGTTAGTCTATCTATCTTATCATTGGCTTAAATAAAATTTAGTTACGTGATCAATTATATTTTTTATTCACATTTCTTTGAAAGCATACTTAAGAATCATTTTGTAATGTATATGTATAAATTGATCCCCGGGGATTATTTTATACCTATTGATAGTAAATACGACGAACATTGAAAAGCATTTCAGTTATTACATTTTATTTAAATGAAACAAAGCTTTGACGCGTTGTTTTTCTTTAATACTGACGGTGTATTGTTGTAACCAGAGATGGGCAAACTCATTATCTAGATAAAAAAAGTATTTCGTCGTTTCCAATTGTTTAAACGTGAAAATTGCAATTTTTATAATAAAATAATACTTCTTTATGAATGAATCGACATTTATTGAACAATTATTTATTCGAATAAAATTCTGCCCAACTCTTGGTGTAACTAAAACAACAAACAATAATATAGGATATGGGTAAAATGATTCCTGGGATCATTTTATCCTACTAGAGAGGGATCATATGACCCCAAACACCCAACTCACATTCAGTGGTTGAATATAACATCAACTTATTACATGCGGTAACGTAACATTAATTAACTTATTATTGAATTGTGGTTAAATCCGCGCAAGAAGCAGCTGTCACACTAAACTGTTTATGACAAAAGTTACACAACATTGAAAAAGACCTTATTTTAGATAAATTGCGGTAATTTTGATTTTTCTTGTGAACAACACACAGAGCACTGCTATTCACATGGCACTTCGAGCAACGACTAGTGACGTACGGGGAGAACTATTGTAGAACGACATTACGATATAGTACCACTAATAACCACATTGTAGCCAGGAATCATTTTACCCCGAGGGATCGTTTTAAACACCTTTCCCCTATCCATTTAATGCTGTATATCTCTCTGTTACGCTTCACGACGAGATCTTCGAGAACCTACCTGTACTCATTGATTGTCATCGTGTTACAGCGTCACGATGTCGCGCACCATGCTGAAGGAGTCGCCGAACGCGGCCTTAGACAAGACGTTGCTGAGCAGGTACCTGGAGCTGCCTCAGCCGGAGAACCAAATTCAGGCGAAGTATATTTGGATCGACGGCACCGGCGAAGGATTGAGGAGCAAGACTAGGACGGTCGATTTCGTACCGAATCACCCGTCAGGTCGGTAAAGAATTTCGGATATACTGATAGAATATAGTGAAATACCAAAAAAAAAAAACAATATTTTGTGGTGAAAGTACTTAATATTGCCTAGCAAAAATTAAATAGCTTTGAATTGAATAATAATTGATAGTTTTGTATGTGTTTGTCTTAACATAAAGAAAAATTATTCGCGGTTTCATGTAGCACACGGTAGAACCGTTAAAACCTACAAATTTTTAATTGGGACTCAAAAAATGCAAGACATGTAAAAACAGGGTTCCATAAAAAGTGTACCTAATGTCGCCTACTCAAGAAATATTGATCAACTCATGTACATATGAGTTTGGAAAGTCTTTTTAACACGTGTCTTCATTATTTCTTGCTATATAAATAGTTTTTAATGAACTTTTTAATTAGAATTAGGTTTAAAAAATTTTGTCATCAAAATATTAAAATATGTTTTTTAAATATTTTGTTTTTTACGTTCGGATGTACATATTGGACAAAGTTAATTTCGGTTGCTCCGCAAATTTCCTATTGAGAAAAAAATTCAGTATTAGGAACACTAAAGGTAGAGGGTATTGAGGGCATGAATGTTGATAACAGGAAAACGCTATATTCATTCAGAAAAATGTTTGTATCTGTACTAGATATTCATGCATTCACAGAATTTTTAGATTGACCTTCTCCAATATGACGCAAAATTGTAACTGTCCAATAAATTTGTACACCATTAAGATTCACTAAAATATTCCCCTTTCATAAATTGTTGATCACATAACTTTGCTATTACAGTATGTATTCCTGCATATACTTAGGTACCAGTTCAGCCCATGACCGATAACATTAGTGCTTGCTTTGGGAAATATAACGAGTGGCGATATTAGGACCATGGACGGTATTAGGTACCTTTACCCGAATTATACAGTGTATCCCAAAATAGCGTCGACTCTCGGAAATGAGGGGTTCCTGGTATAATTTGAAACTATATTTTCCTTAACAAAAATGTTATCCGAGCCATTGTTGTCGAGATATTAACGAAAAATTCCGACCAATCAGAGCGCGAGTCTGCCGGCCGAGTTGCCGCGGTAGCGTTGACTACCAATCGCAGCGCGTAGCTAACGCTACCGTAGAACCTTGGCCGGCAGACTCGCGCTCTGATTGGTCGGGATTTTTCGTTAATATCTCATTAACAAAGCTTTGATTGACATTTTTGTTAAGGAAAAAGTTGTTTCAAATCATCCCAGGAACCCCCCATTTTCGGGAGTCGAAGCTATTTTGGGACACCCTACAGATTACTGATAGAACTCTTACCACGTTCTTGTCATTTTTCTCATTTGAATGGGTGGTCTAGAAGAAGGACGTATGTTACAAATATTTCGAAGGGGGCTTTTCCATGCAACAAAGAGTTTATAAGTTTATATATTTTTTTAAAGTTTATAGTACTCGACAATGGCACTACAGGTTAAAAGCTGCACAGGAAACTAGAAGAAACAGTGATGTAATGAATTGTTTTTACATTTTCCTGTAAATTTTATGAAATGTAACATATACCCTTCTTTTAAACACCCATTTATTTAGTTCTTTCGTAACTTTCACTTTCGAAATCCTTCGTGTTACTCTGCAATTTCCCGTCTATTCTTCTCTTCCGAATCTCTCGAGCGTTTGTTCAGGCGTCGTTATCGTCACGCACATGTGGTGATCAGGATCGGACGAGTGTATCTGCCTATTTTTACTCTCACTTTCTCCAGGTTCCCTTAGATTTTTCCACAACTTTTACACTATTCGATTTTCCTTTTATCGTTTCCTGTATTCTGTTTTCAATTCTCCAACTGTCTGCTGAAAGTTGCACTTGGACCCTAATAGTTCAAGAGTAGGCTACGAATATTCTAACCTTATTTCCAAATGCAAATTTCTTACCTTAAACGATACAGGCAATGTTACCAATCACAAAACTGCCCGTCTGGCTGGTCGGAAAACATGCGTCTGGCGGGGTCGTTGCGCTTAAAAGTATCAAATTTCAAGAGACAAAAATATGATATCGAAACGGCTGAACATTTTTTTTGCTTATATTATATTATCCTACAAAACTGAAGGTACCATTGTCAGACTATTTAGTCCCTGCAATAGTACTGCCAGACTGGATTAAAATTTTATATGACGGGGCAAAATGTACGTTACTTTGAACGGACATAAACATTGGACAAACCTTGTCGTCCGCTGACACCTGTCCTTAGAATGACCTGGACACTTTCCTCGAGTTTTCGGTATTCTCTCCCACACGGTCTACAGGGTGATCGGTAACTGGTGGTACAACCGAAGAGGTGATTCTATATGAAAAAATAAGTCGAAAATATCGATTAAAATTTTTTCATTCGAGATTCCGTTTTCGAGAAAACTGACTTTGAACATCTGTTGGCTACACGCGCAGTTAAATAGGTCTTGGATATCGCGTCTGTTTATTGCATTCTGGTTCTACTTATTGCCATCATGAATACACGCGTTTCAGATTAATTTTCAAAGTCGATTTTCTCGAAAGCAAAGCTTCATATGAAAAAATTGTATTCTACATTTTCGACTTATTTTTTGACGTAGAATTAATCCCTTTCTGGTTGTACCACCAGTTATCGACCATCCTGTATACTTCCTTTTACTGTGTCTTTTTCCTTTTCGCCTCTTTTTAATCCTTCAACGCCCAGACACTTAAATCGTTATTTCAAAATTAAAAGTCTGAAATAGGTATATGTTGTATCTTGTTATTTCTGTCTATGTTATTAGACCTATTCTTTTTTATTGTTTTTGTTTTTTTATTTATTTTTGGAAGAAATACTTGAATTTCTCAACTGATAACGTGAATATTTACTTCGTATCAGTGAAACTGATAAATAGACTGCGGATTTTTATGCAAAATAAGATCCTCCAAAGTAATCTGTGAAGACAATAGTGAAGGTAGGATTTTCCCTCTTCTCTTAAGTGTCTTATTGGGTTAATATTGTTAAATTATATTATGTCAAAAAAATATTGAAAGTATGCAGAGAAGAATTTAAGCAATTATAGATGCGAACGGTGGCATGACAAAATATTGATACATATATTTTTTGAAAAATTATAATCGTTGTCAAATATCAGTAAAAACGTAACAATATGTTTTGTAATAAAGAAGGTACTATTATAAGTGCATTGTCAATTCCATTCTTGATTAAAATTCAAACGAGTGCTACTTCGAAGTATTCATAATAATTTGATCACCCACGATAGTCTGCCCAACTCTGGCCTGAACTGTTTAGTCTCCTCCGCGTTCAAACATATTTGAATCAAACGTCTGTTCACGAACCCACCACTCCACTGGCCGAAATTTCTATAAAGTCACTATGTTTTTTTATGAATTCTTATAATTATTTCATACCAATGAGAAATTTGTGTTTGGTAGCATGTTGGGATTAATTAAAGACAGCGTACACATCGATTTCAAAAAATAAATTATAGGGTAAACCAACCAGTAATTGACTGCATACCAGTGAATGACCATTAGGCAAGAAATGTAAATTATAAATTTAAAAACGATTGAATGTTTATAAACGGAGCGTTGTTGCACGTTTGATATCCCATATTTTTAGTTTAACGTATTAAGCAAACATTAGTAAGTGCAATTCTTATTAAAAATATTTTAGAAATGTAACAGTCATTTACTGGACTTTTACACAATTTGCACTTCGTAAATAATTTTTAAAAAATTATGATAAGGATAAGTAATTATTGTTATAAAGATTTCAAGAAAAATAAATGTAATTGCAATTTCAACAGCTGTTTTATTGTTATAAATAAATATATTCAAGTATTAATCTCAAACGTCCATAAATTCAACAATTCGGTCATTCACTGGTTGGTTTATCCTACCATTTATTTAAAAAAATATATATATATAATTCAACAGAAAACAAACTGCGAAATTTCTATAAAGTCATTCGCTTTTTATATAACTAAAGTTGAAATTATCAATTGTTTTTCACTATTTCTATATCACGTTGAACGCAGCGTCGATTTTGCTATCCTTTCACGCACGACGCGATGACGACTTCGTTTTACCTTTTCACCTTCCGTTTGAACTATACACATATCTTTTCATATTATACTAATTACAACATTTGGTTTTTAAACTTGATGCTGCCGGTCCCCAGAGACCGATGTCTCGTGACCGAAAAATCCACTGCAGGTCCCCAGGGACCGGCGCCGCGGTCAACGTATTAAAATACTTATTGTAACCTCCATGGTTTTGAATGAAAATACAAAAACGGATACGATGTAGCAATACAATTGGTGGTATTTCGAAAATACACTAGCCGAAATTTCTACAAAGTCATGTTCATTTTCATAGATATTTTCAAAATACCACTTATTGCTCTATCCTATATGTTTTTGTATTTTTATTCCACAAAATGGAGGTTACACTGAGTATTGATATAGAAATAGCGAAAAAGAATTGTTAATTTCAACTTTACTTATGTAAAAGGCGAATGACTTTATAGAAATTTCGCAGTTTGTTTTCTGTTGAATTATATTTGTTTCTTTTTTTTAAATAAATAGTATATTTATTTTTTGAAACCGACGTGTACGCTCTCTTTAATTAATCCTAACATGCTATCAAACACGAATTCATAAAAAAAAAATGGTGACTTTATAGAAATTTCGGCCAGTGTAGTGTGCAAACGAGAACGCGACGAGAGTTTTACCAGACGTGAATCACGTGTCTTGACATACGCGATTGATTGATTCAAATCAACGAGCGATCTCATCGAACATACAATTGAGAAAAAAAATGTACTATCTAATCGCGTTCGTTGTTATATCCTGATAAAAATTGCAGGGGGCAAATCCTCTTTTGCGATTACGTGCCGCACACTTTCACTCGGGTGTCCTTTCGTTTCAAAAAACTCGTTATTCTTCCTTTATTTTTTTTTTTATCTCTACAAAGAACGAACCTTGACTTGTGAATGCAGTTCAAGCGACGAACCGTGTTGCACCGTGAATGCAAATCGGATCTAAGGTCCATCGCGCGCGACAGCTCACGCTCCTCTGCTCTGCGCTCGTATGTATACATATATGTATTCGCATCCGTCATTGTCAATAGCGTATCGTCTGTATTCATGAAATTCCGAGCGCCATGCAGAACGATTAACATTTGCGGAGCGTATGAATGCATCGAAATGTCCCCGGCCATATTGACGATTGAGATCGAAACTCGAACGGAATTCGCATTTTATTTTCGTGTTGTGTGGATTATCGAGTCACAGTTAGCAAATTACATTCATGGAAAATAGCAAGAACACTAATAGCATATCGTAACACTTTCATCTTTAACTTTAATCTAAGGGTAAATTACCACTTTTATAATAATAACTCGTATCTACAAGCACTGAAATTCAAAAGTCTATTAACCCTCAAGGTCACGGACGGCATATTCGGCATCTATGTCTCTGGTACGGAGAAGTCTTTTATTTTTATAAATTTTTTTTACTCGAAAAATGTTTTTTTTTTAAGAACAATTAACATTTGCGGAGCGTATGAATGCATAGAAATGTACCCGGCCATATTGACGATTGAGAGCGAAACTCGAACGGAATTCGCATTTTATTTTCGTGTTGTGTGGATTATCGACTTCATCAAACTTGGCGGGAAAGTACGAACGGGAGAAAATTTTCTTTATCGAACTAATTTTACCGAAACATTAGGCTGGTGTACGTGAAATGTCGTTTTCACAAATGAAACTTCAACCACACGTGGTTTCTTCGACGTTATTTAAACGCTATTTTTCGTGGATTATTTTTAACAATATCTGTTAAAACATTATTGTCGATGGCATTTTTTGGCCGTTTCCTCGATTCAATTTCTGATGAAAAACACCAACTTTGAATTTCACAAATAAACGTTTGAACTGTTTTAACATTTACGTAACCTTCTTCAACAACTAAATTTATGTTTTCCGTGACTTTTGCGACATTTGTTCCAAGTTTAAACTCGCATAAAAAAAATCACACTAATATTCTGATTATTCATGACGGCTAAGAACGAGATTTTAATGTTACGATTGTATTATATAGGGTGTCGTGTAACTGGTTGTATAACTGACCACAGAGTGATGTACGTAAAAAAGTAAGTCGAAAATATACAATAAAATTTTTTCATTTCAGACTTTGTATTTGAGAAAATGGACTTTGAAAATTAATCTGAAACGCGTGTATTCGTAATGGTAGTAAGTAGAAATTGAATGCAATGAACAGACGCGCTAGCAGATTCTTACTCTACTCAATTGCACGTGAATCCAGCGGATTTCCAATGTCGATTTTCTCATAAACGAAGTCTCAAATGAAAAAGTTTTATTGTATATTTTCAACTTATTTGTTCATGTATATAATTTACTTAGACTGACTTGTGCACTACACGTTCAGTCAAACCTGCACAATTATTTTACATACATACAAGGGCTAAACTATAATTATAATTAGTTATTACAAATTAAATAATCAGCAAAGTAATGTTAAGTATTTACCAAGAGCGTTAGTTTCCAAACGCAACAATTTGCTTGCGTAATTGTGAATGCACGAGTAAGTTTGCGCAAATTACATATTTGAACGTGTAAACGGGCCTTTAACTTTTTACTTTTGCGCCAATCCTAGTGACGTTCGTCAAGTTTCAATATGGTCAGTCGTGTTTGGGCCAGTTTGGACAACACACGGATTCATTCGACACTAAAATTTGGAGAGTTAATCCTCTATTTCCGTCAGTTCAGAATTCAAAAGGTATTTTTTCGAACCTATACCAGTGATTTAAAAAAAAAAAACCCTATTATTTCAAAGCATTCGAGTAGCTCAATCGTCCTAACTAATATTTCAAACATCCGAGAAACATAAGGTTTTATCATTTTCTTTGTACCGTTCTTTTCTTTCATCGTAGGAAATTTTAATATAGGAAACGGTTTCAATTACATTTATTTTCTTCTTGTACACACAACTTAAACATAAATAATTCAGACATAAACTACTTAAACGTAACACTAAACACCGTTATTATTATTATTAGAAACTGTGAATGATTCCCAAAAAACAAGCCGATTTCCTGGCATGGTTTGTTTCAATTTTACGATTAAATTTTATTTTATTTTTGCTAAAATTCTTTCCATTTCAAATAATAACTTAGAGCTATCTAAATTAGTAAATGTTACATAGGATAATATAAACTAGTGAAATCGCAGTTAGGACAAATAAAAGAGACTGTTTCTAGAACCCTATAAAGCAACATTAATTAAAAGTGAACAAATGCAGAGTTTCAAATATTTGGAAAAATCTTGAAAAACAATCATTTTTTAGACAGAACATTTTAGCTAAAGAGGGCAGTATATAAGTTTTCCAAATATCATTAAATTAATACCTTGAAAAATATGCGATTTTTGAGGTATCTATTGAAGATATTTTTACCTTTTTTTAAATGTTATTATTCCTATCCAGTAAACATATGTTGCACTATATAAACTTATTTTATAAAAATAAAGTGTCATTACATGTGTTTAAATTATATTAAAAATAGAAAGCCGATATATGTATCGGCTCAAATTATTTTCCGGAAGACCTACATAGTCGATATATCTAAGGTGCTAAAAGGATTAATTGTTAAAAAAACATATTATTAAATGACAATTGTAAAATACACCTGACGGCGACAGGTTATACTACTCGAACAACCGTTGCCCAGCTGATACACGTGCTCGAATGAATGATGACCGACTAAAATCAATGAATGAAATAAAATGAAATGAATCGAACAAACTCGTGAAATAATTGAAGAGACGTATTTTAAGTCTCTCTTCCCAATCCCTGTGATAAACAAATAGCATCAATGTTACTACATACCTGCAATCTGCAAGTTCCATGCAGACTTGGATTAAGATTTTTGAGGCCCGGGGCTATCAAACCTTCGACGGCACTCTTGATTGAAAGGAGGAGCAGGGAGGGGGGGGGAGGGGGTCACAATAAAACATACAATAAAGTACACAAATCTTCCAAAATTGAAATTAAATCTAAACAAAATTAAATAACATTTAATCATAACGAACGCTTGATTCTAGGGAACAATGCTTCGTTATATTTTCATAAATTTCATTCGATTTATTGTTATATTTAGTGCGATTTCTAATTACTTCAAAAGGAAAAGAAGATACAAAATTTTATTCATTATTTTTTGACATAAATGGAAGGCTTAGATCGGGACCCTTCTGCAAAGTAGGGCCTGGGGCTGCAGTCCCCCTTAGCTACCCCTGGAGAATAGCCCCCTGATCCGGCGCTGGTTTCATACATATCCAAACCCCAACGAAATCTCTACCTAAATCTAACTCTCCTCCCGGTTCCACGAACACGAAAGTATGTTATAACCACATAAAACCGTAATAAAATGAATCACTCGTAAAATCACTACGCACATCTAACCCCAGGATTTCTTCTTTCCAGAGCTACCGATCTGGACGTATGACGGAAGTTCGACTTACCAAGCGGACGGCGCGAACAGCGACATATACCTTTGCCCGGTGGCAATCTACAACGACCCCTTCCGTCCCGGCAAGAACAAGCTGGTGCTGTGCGACACCTATCATAGCGACAAGACACCGACCGCCTCGAACAAACGGTACAAGTGTAACGAGGCGATGGAGGCGGTCAAGGATCAGGATCCTTGGTTCGGTATCGAGCAGGAGTACACATTCCTTGATTTCGACGGCAGGCCGTTAGGCTGGCCAAAGAACGGCTACCCGGGCCCCCAGGGTCCTTATTACTGCGGTGTGGGCGCCGACAAAGTGATCGGTCGCGAGATCGTTGAGGCCCATTACAGGTACGGATAAATCGATACCATCAAGGTATCGATATTTTACTCGTAACTTGTATCGAAAAAAGGTATCGAATCTACTTAGTATCGCACCAAAAGTATCGATATCTACTTGTATCGATGGAAAATGAATACAAAGTTCTTGTTTATCAGTATCATATACAGGGCAGAATTTGGATAAAATGTAATCTAATTATAAAATCTAAATTGCAGTTACAATTGCAGTGTAATTCCGGGACAATTACAATTACACTGTAATTTTTATTGTAAACATAGTATAGTTATTTACAATGTAATTGTCTGGCAATTACATTGCAATTACATTGTTGGTGTAATTTGGATTTTGTAATTAGATTACATTTTGCCCAATTCTGGTACAGGGTGAGTCAGTAATAACCACTGTCTAAAATATCTCGTTACCTATTGGTTCTATCAAACAACGATTTAATGAATTATGTAGCATTTTAAGGGACTCATGAAATGGATGCCATTTGATTTTTTTATATCTTACTTTCTGTGAGATATCAAGTTGACGTTGATTTTTTTCAAAGTCAGTGCATCTGTTTTCTAATACAATCATGCTATAATATGTCACTGAATTGGTCGTTTCATAACGTGGTATTAAGAAAAAGGTGCATAAACCTCGAAAAAGCTCGAGGTTATCCTGATATCTTTCTAAAAATAAATAAGATATGAAAAAATCAAATTGTATCCATTCGAATACGTCCCTTAAAATGGTACATAATTTATTAGAACGTTCGAATTTCATGTTTAAGCAACTAAAAATTACGAAGAATTTTTTTTATCGTTTATTTGTTAATCGAAACTCTTTACCCATCGCTGATTTTAGCAAAGATATATTTGATTATGAGCATTTATTAACGAACATAATTATTAACAAAGTAATATAACTGGACGACAACCACCATCACACATTCATTAGCTTTGATGTCGATTATTGGCTCCATTCGATACAAGTACTTTTTTTTCGATACCGAGTGTATAGGGTGTCCCAAAAAGATGGGACAATCCGTAACATGCATATACAATTCGAGAAATTCTTTACCGTTCTGTATATAATCTGAAGCTCCAATTCCGAGATATTAGCAGTAAAACGAACTTCAATCAGCTGAACAGTGGTCCAAACATCGCACAGACACAGTCAAGAAGCAGTGGTCAGGGACATCGGTCGTGCGGTTCTCGACTATGCTGCGCGTATGTGTTATGTGTAGCCCATCGCTCAGCTGATTGAAGTTCGTTTAACTGACAATATCTCGGAAATGGAGCTGCAGATTACAAAACGGTAAAGTACTTATCGATTTGTATTTGCATAAGGAATATGCATGTTGCGGATTGTCACGTCTTTTTGGGACACCCTGTATATCGAAACGAAAGTATCGATTATTTACTTAAATTGATTCGTCCTTAATTACAGGGCGTGCCTTTACGCGGGCGTGAAGATCGCCGGCACGAACGCCGAGGTGATGCCGTCCCAATGGGAGTTCCAGGTCGGTCCGTGCAGCGGTATATCCGGCGGGGACGATCTATGGGTAGCCAGATTCATATTGCACCGTGTCGCCGAAGAATACGGCGTGATTGTCACGCTGGACCCGAAACCGATGGAGGGCTCGTGGAACGGGGCTGGGGCGCACACGAATTTCTCGACGAAACCGATGCGCGCGGATAACGGGATAGCGGAGATCGAGAAGGCGATCGACAAGCTTAGTAAGCAACACCTCAGGCACATCCAGGCGTACGATCCACGCGGGGGAAAGGACAACGAGCGTCGTTTGACCGGGAAATGCGAGACGAGCAGTATACACGATTTTAGTGCCGGCGTGGCCAATCGGAACGTGAGCATCCGTATTCCACGGGGAGTCGCCGAAGACAAGAAGGGATACCTGGAGGACAGACGGCCGAGCAGCAATTGCGACCCGTACGCGGTCTGCGACGCTCTGGTCCGTACCTGTGTTCTCAACGAGTAAATCGAAATGGGGAACTTCGTGTCTAGATAAAATATAGGAGGTGACTAATCGGCGTAGCGCAATGGTGATCGTATATACAGGGTGTCTCAGCTAATTTCATCACCTGGAATAATGACTTAACGGTATACTTTATGGAAATTTGGAGGCGAGGAACTTAAATGGCATCAGGGGAAACATCTTATAGAGTACGTGCTTTTTCGCGGGTAGAGACATTTCGGAGATTTATAGTATCAAATTCTGAGTACAAATGTGTTGACATTCATACGTCCTAAGGTGACGAGATATTTGCAAAATAATCACTGTATTGAAGTTGAAGGGCATTAGTTCGAGCATCTATAGCTTCCACAGTCAGTACGTATTATAAATTATTTTGTAAATACCTTGTTAACTATTAGGTTTAGAACGTATGAAGGTCAACACATTTTTACTCGGAATTTGATACTCAATCGATCTATGGGACAAAAAATAAGTCATTCTGTTAAAAAAAATCAAGGTGACTTAAGAAATCTCTGAAATGCCTCCACCCACAAAAAAATCACGTACCTTATAAGATGTACCCCTTGATGCCATTTAAGTTGTACGCCTCAAAAATTTCATAAAGTGTACCGTTAAGTTATTATTCGCGGTGATCAAGTTAGCTGAGACACCCTGTATATGTATGTATATCTTCGTCGAACGTGTTCCATGCATGCTGAGCTGCTCTGTACAATGTATGATAAATGAAGTTTGGTAGACAAATTGACCCAGATCCGAGGGTGAGAGGTTTGGTATAATCATTCGAGAAACGATTTGAGAAAATCATCCTGGAATGAATTTGTCACTTCATCAGCGATTCGAGATCATCGTAGGAAAAACTGTTCGCGCGAAGAATGGTAGGAACAAAAGAAAAAAAAATAGGGGTAAATAGGCGAGACTTTTCACGGGAATAATTTTCACATTCGTCTGAAACGATATACGTATAGAGCGTATTTCTGAAGTGTTGATAAAAAATTTAATTGATTCGTAGGATTTGTTAAATGGAACGAGAGTGTCTTGATGAATACAGATCGTTAAAATGATCGTTTCTGGGATATTCAGTTCTTTTTTTTAATGCTAATGGATATATTATTAGACTGCGAATAGTATGCGTTCGTGGTAAATGGATACAGTTGAGTGAACTGTTTAAAAAAAAGTCGAAGGAGAGACAGGTAAAGGAATGATCAAGTTTTACAAATGAATTTATAAAAAATGCGAATTACGCGTCGTTTTGAACAGCAACAGTTTTGATGTGGTTATGAATTGAATGTCTCCAAAATGACGGGATCATCGATTTAAATTTTACAAATTTTTACCTACAGTTCTGAAACAGCCGAATCATCCGCTAGTCGAGCAATCTGTAATTTGTATTTGATACTTTAAAAAGGTACTTTAGGTCGTGTTATGTGTCGATGTATCCGAGTATGGTAGAAGTTTCAGTTCTAGGGTGTATCCTGTGCACGAAGTAGGATTAACGCTTGTTACGTCTATCTGTTTAATTTGGTAGCGTTCGTAGCAATCGCGACAATAAGGATAAACGTATCGTTTAATGTAATTTTTCGTAGGCGAAATTCAGCATTGTAACAGCTACCTTTTTTCGATCCATTTTGGTGCTCGTTAAAGAGAGGAGCAGAACGTGTGCACGAGCCTGCCGAATTTTTCGACGCGTTGCATTTCTTCGAGAAGCGAACAGCTGGAAAGTGTAGTTTTAACGGGGTTCCAGTGCTAGCCTCGACACTCGAGATTCCGAAATATCTATATAGGACATCTTTCGTCGGTTAATGATAACGAGTTTTTGAAAGTGGGCACGACGAACCTTTGAAACATCGTAAGGTCGCGACCTTATCTTTCCATTTGTGGCTTCGATACAATCAACGAAACGTTTCGAGTATATTAACATTTTAAGCCGTAGAGCAAACGTTCGAGCATGTACACGCTATTTACGAAACTTCTTTCCTCGCGGAGCATAATGATTTTATCAACGGAAACGCGCAGGATATATGGATAGCAGGTACTGAGAAGTGCCATAATCGATTGGATGTAGGTGTCATTACACGAGGGCAGAGCAATTGAAAAAAAAGGCACTCCCCCTTTGTCGCAATTGCTTGCGGATCCCGCTATCCGTGAATCTTGAGAGGTGACCATGTGGTTCCTCTCTATTCGGTCATGTTAGAATAGTACGCGATGTAAAAAAAAGAAAAAAGAAAAAGAAACTAAAGAAAAGTCGATGTAGCATGTACATGGTGTATTTTCATATTTGTATGGTATATTTTCATATCTGTATTTTCTATGCTGACTTCTGTAATTGTATTCGTATACCATGACCATTGTTGACAGTTTTGTTAGTAGTGGTTATCGCAGTTGTTAATAATAATAAGAATGATTATGATAATAATAAAAGGCGACGTTTTTGATGAAGGAAATACTATTCTCTTATTAGTATGGACCATTCACATTGTTATATTCTGAAATAAAAACTTCTACAACCACTGACTCATTCTGTTGTTCCACTGTTAATCATAGACAACACGAATAGTTATGAGAGCGGCAGTTTTCTAATCACTACTTTAAACCACATGTATGCGGTAAACGCAGAGAGAGAATACCACGTAATAATATAACTTAAATGTTCGTTTCTCAAATTCACGCGTGTTTGACCCCCTACTGGATACGTAGGAAAATTTTTATTGCGTGTCATTTCAATGTATACAGGTGCTGCATCCGCTCTTTCAGCCATGGCATTCAGATCCCTGGAAAATAATATTGATATTAACATCAAGTTGATACATGATATTTATGTACCCTTCCGTGGTTCTTTTCAAAGTTATTTTTAGCTACCTGTAGTACCAGACATCGTTGTTTGGATTATGTTTGGGTACAAACTGTGGTCTTGGCTCATTCAACCTTAAAATTCCTGTAATTTCTACTTCATCTTTTACCTGGCTATTCTTTCTTGTAGTTGGATTTTTAAGAGAATTAGGTATCCAGCCACGATTTACTAAAATTGTCAGACTGTAATATATTTTATGGATTTTAATAAGGAAAAAACAATAAGATTATAATTAATTTAAAACTATATTTCTTTGCAATATGTACTTACTCCCGGTCAGATAATTTAAATGGTGTAATAAGGTAATAACCCCTTTGACTGCTTTGGTTTCCCATTACAGAGCCAGAAGTGTTTGAATCACCATTCAATATTAAAGATCTAGGTCCTATTGAAAATTCTTTATCATACAAAAATGTTCCTTTAACTGTAATAGGACAATATTCCATCGACTCCAACTGTTCTAAACTGAATGTAGGATTATATATATTAATTACTACGTATTAGTAATTCTGTAATACTACCTGCTACATATATTTTAAATATCTCACTCTGCTGGTAATTCTATGGGTTGAGAGGAGATGCGTTCGTTTAAAGTTTTTATCAGATTTAACTTCCATTTACGTCTTTGAACTTGCCATGTGCCAAGTATAAATGTTCCAACAGGTATACTCTAAATTATTTACACTTGTTAACATAATCAATTAACTCTCTACTACAAAACAATATATTCTCTTGTTTGCAATTGAATAAACCAAAGCTAACAATTATCCAATATATTCGTTTATTTGAAATACACATTTTTCAATATATGTATATATGCTTATACTTGCCAACAAAAGATATCCATATGCTCCAATATTTTTAATCGTTTTATAAGTATCTTTCTCTTTAGTTTCGCCTACATATAGGTTAGGTTTAGATAACCGTGTGTTATACCTTTTTGGAATATTAAGAACATCGCGAGACTGAGAATAGCGATCTTTACTTAAAATCTCAAGATTTGTTTTGAATTGTTTTCCTAATCTTGTAAAAATTCTCCCTGTTATGAACTTCATTTCTTAATAGTACTTTGAACTATACATATACACAGATTAATTAAAGAAATTATAAACAAAACCGTTTTTGACTTATTTTTATTATTTACATTGAAAAGTGACAGCACAAACGAGACAGAAGTAAACCTACTGAAACCTACTAACATACAATGTTCACTGTGGTTCACTGATATTCACGATGTAGAAATCAGTAAAAATAATTGAAAACAATAGAGATATATACAAATAGACTGTCGCGGTCTTATGGAAGGGATGAAGTGATACTGAGCGATACCGAAGGACAGAAGTAGCGATGGAGTCGTTCCTCTCTCGCTCGAACATCGCAGAGGGAGGGGCGAAAGCGACTGGAGGGCTTTCAGGAGAAGAAATGCTGCACGCATGTAATGCCTTCAAACTAGAGATGGCGTGCAAAATCACTAACGGTGATTTATCACAGTGATCGCCGAATCACGATCAAGGTCGTGATTTAACTTCATTCACAACCGTGATTGCGATTTTTCTATCTTGGGTGAATTTGCTCACTGCGATCGTAAGTCCTTGATCTTTAAACAGAAAAACGTATTCAATATGATTTTACGATAATTACATTACTATTCGTGTTTGTAAACATCAGTAGAAAAAACAAGAAATTCTAAAAAAATGATTTGCTAGGTAACATGTAGATTATAATTTGTAATCATTAATTTATTCATTATTCTTCATTGTTTCTACTTATTCCTTCACTTTATACGATATAACCCTAATTTTTGTTTTGATGTCGTTAATGTGAAATATACAAATTATGTATCGCGTGTAAAGAACTGTTAGGTTTCTCCACCAATAAGAAACGATCACGGGAAATCACGAATCACTGTGAAAAATCATCGTGATTGGGAACGAACGTGATCGAATCACGAGTGACTCACAAGTAGCAGTTCACGCCATCTCTACTTCAAACTAGAGATCGAGTACCGATCAACCGAAGTATCGGATATTTTTATTCCCGTCAAATCATATAGATACACGCAATATGAATGGAATATATAACACTTCATTTGTGCTAATAATACTCAGAATTCATGCTTTATCGGTAACGTCGGGTATTGACACTAAAACGGTAAGGGGACTTCTGACACCCTCGAAGCATGGGACAGAAAATTACATTGCATGTTAGGTCTATTCATATATCTCGTCTGTGATAATACTCAGAATTCATGCTTTCTCGGTAACGTCGGGTATCTACCCACAATTCATGCGGTATCGGTAATATTGGGTAGTGACAATTCAACAATGTTGAGGCTCTTCGACCTCAAAAAATGGGGTGACGTCACCCCAGAAAAGTGGGGCGAAGAAATACATTTGATGAAAGGTCTACTCCTATACCTCATCTGTGGTAAGATGATTAAAAAGTGTGTACATCCAGCGCACCCTATATGTAGTTACGTCGAACAAGTTGACAAAGGATTGACGGAGAGAGAGCGTAGGTGATTGGAGCTCGCTTGATGTAGTATGGAATATTCCTGGACATTCAGCCCTCTACAGCCCCGAACGCTACAATGAACGAGCTCATGGAATAAGCTTCTACTGTATGCAGAAAATATCAAATGGTCTGAACGAAAGTTCTAACACGAAACGAGCTAACAGGAGGCGGGCAGATGTTAATCTGCTCTATGGCTCCGATCGCGTCCGATTGTTGCCGAGCCGACCCGAATTGGGACTGCCCGCCCGTGCTCATAGCCCGAGTCGAGTCTCGGGATTCCTGAACAATACGGGAGTATCGAGATCTTGCCTGATGCCGCCTCCATCTTTCCGTCCCGACCACGAAGCTCGAGTTTCTGTGGCTCGGAACAATTCGCACACCCCTACCATCGAGTAATATCGATCAATACTTTGCGTGTGTGTGTATGTGCGTGTGTGCTGTGTAACGCTATGGTATACTGGTATATATATATATAACACATTCGAAACGCTCGAGTGGGCTGACCTCAATATATGTACAGTAGACTCGCGATAATTACCCGCATTTGGGGTTCTAGAGACGTGCTCTATCGATGCATCACCAGAAAGTGGTGATCTCTAAAACCGTCGTCTGTCACAGAGCTATTGGAAAGTTTAATTTTCTTTTCTCACGCGTGGATAGTTTCGTTGGAATCTTTGTGCGAAAATGAATTCGAGTCAGCCGAGTACAAGCGGTGTGAATTGTGCGAAACGGAGGATTCACGTGACTGTGACATTGCAGCAAAAAGTTGAAGCGCTAAAACAGAAAGATGCAGGTGTTCCGACGAGTGATATAGCTGTACAGTACAATGTTAATGACAGTACAGTAAGAAGGTGGGTTCGTGATAGAAAAAAATTGGAGAAATGCGGTAGTTTTGCGTTAACATCAAAGCGTATGCGTCTGTCACCTCTAAAAAAAGTAAACGAAGCGTTAACCATTTGGTTTAATTCCGAAAGAAAACAGAACGAAATAATCGGTGTTACAGAAATCAAAGGTATCGTAAAAGAATAATTTCAATTTGTCAATTTTATGAAAATTAATTTTAAAATTTAACTTTAAATTTTCTTTTTTTCGTGAAAAGTATTCTTACTTTAATGGAAAAATTAATTTTCGCAGCGAAAGCTCAACAATTCTTTGAACGGTTTGGTGGTATGGAAATATTTAAAGTTAGCGACGGATGGTTTCATGGTTGGAAAAAGAAGAATGGGATACGCTTATTGGTCAATTGCGGGGAACAGGTATCCACAGATACCGAAGCAGCGGTGAACTTTAAAAATCAATTGTTAGAATTAATCGAAGAGGAAAAATTGAAATTGAACCAAATTTTTAATGCGGACGAAACGGGTTTATATTTCAAAATGATGCCGAAGAACACATTAGTGATCAAAACAGAGAACTCGACAGCGGGTTATGGAACAATTAAAGATAGGGTAACTGTGATGGCATGCTGTAACGCTACCGGTTCGTTGAAAATGCCATTATTAATCGTTGGACGACATCAGAAGCCAGGACCATTAAAAAATTTAATGCCACACCTATTACCAGTCAAGTATATCAGCCAATCGAACGCTTGCATGAATATCACAATCTTTGAAACATGGTTTAAGGAGGATTTCGTGCCGAATGTTGTTACATTTTTAAGATCGAAAGGGTTGCCTGAAAAAGCGATTTTATTGCACGATAATGCCAAGTCGTATTCGTCACCAAAAATTTTATCTGTTGGCGGTATTAGAGCTATATCCTTACCTCCAAACGTTACATCGCTCATACAACCTTTAGATCAAGGTATTATAGCGGCAATGAAGAGAAGGTATAAGACGAAACTGTTAAGATATATATTGAACGCCCAAAACAACGGGCAGGATTATAATGATGCAATGAAATCATTCAACATAAAGTATGCCATTAATTTCATAAGCGATGCTTGGAATGAAATAACAGAAAAAACAATTTCCAATGGTTGGAAGAATTTATTGAACCAATCGGTCGATTCGACCAGTATTTCTGACGAGATCACGTCTGAATACATCTATCAGATTTCTAAAAAAATTCGAAATCTTCAAAACGTTACGTTAGACGAAGTTACTGAATGGGTTGATCTAGATTCAGACAACATAACCGACGAAGATATTATTCGAGCCGTACAAGATAGCGATAGTGAAGAGATTGGTATGTTCAATAAAATAAATTTTATATTCTATTTTAAAAATTACAAATTAATGTGAAAGCGAAATTTTAAATACAAATGTTTTAATTAAAAACAGATTATATAAACAAAAAATCTTTAATTGTTGTTCTTTAAAACAGCTTCTAAATTCTGGTTTCCTAATTATTAAATTAATATCACAAAATAAATACATTTAGTTATTTTATTTACAATAGAGACAGAAGATGATGATCCTGCGGACACTGAAATCTCACCGTCAAGTGCATTGGAAGCTGCAGACTGTCTGATTTCATTTTGCGAAAAGAACCAGATCTTCATCCCTCACATGACAGGATTAAGAGCAGTCAGAGATCAAATATTACAACTTAAAGATGACATTTAATTTTTGTATTATAATGAAAAATGTAATACATACTATGTAATATTTTTTGTAATAGATATTTTATTTATTGTAATAAATAATGTAATTAAAACAATTGACTTTTTTTATAAATTGCAATAAATAAAATAATACAATGAATTGAATTTTGCTATAAAGTGTAATAAATACAAAAGAAAAACAAATCATCAAACGATGCCGTCGCTCTTTCGGCGGTAGAAAAATGGCACGCGTTATGTATGGTAAACACGCTAATGAATAAATATTTGAATGATTTTGTAACTATTAAAGTCGAATTTTAAATTATAATAAAATCAATGAATATTTGGCACATGAAAGTTAGATTTTTTTAATATCCATACCTTTGTATAGTATAGATTTTAATTTGAAAAATTGGAAAAACGTAATTAATTGTATTAAACAGAAGAAAAGACAGATTTCATCAGAGATTCAACAATGATTAAGAAAATGAACATTTCTAACCGATCCGATGGCGCGAAAATTGTTTGAATGTGAAACAAGGAATAGCAAAAAATCAATATTTAATCATTTGCTTATTTTAATAACTTAATTTACTCGTTTTTATATATAATGTTTGTTTACTTAGTGCAGTTTCGCTACGGAACGTCCATCACGAAGAAATAGATAGACGATGTGCGAGGAGATGCCGCATGGTATTGGCTCTCAATAATTACCCGTTTTTTAGAACTGCCCGCGTCTATACCTCATCCAACGAGTCGAGTGTGAAACTATAAATAAAGGGAGAAACTACAAATATGGATTTTGTAAATATATAAAAGCTAATATAAATTTTGTAGACATGACACTAAGTTGATGGGTCTTGGAATATTTCAGTCAGTTGTAAAAGTGGATAGAACCTAAAAAAAAAACAAAGCTGTAACTGTTCTAACAGCTTGTTGAAATGTTGCAAGTTCCATTGGCGCTGACTATCATAAAAAACTTTTCGAGTTCCTGCAGCATTGCTACCTTGATCTAAAGTTATTAAAACTAAGTAATAGCAGTAAACATAGTCTTCAGTTTCATAGATCTTTATACGAAGAGAACGAATGTATCTAGTAAAATAGTCAAATATACATTCGATTTCTTGTACATTATCAAAGTATTCAAAGTGTCGTATGTTCTTATATGTCGATACAATTTTCTATCTACTATTCACTTTCCATTGAGTCCGTCCTAGATCACAGACGTGGTATAAATTTATTTAAAAAACTAATTTGAAGAGTTCATACATTCTTTGCAAATAATTTAGAAAAAAAATAGAACTTTTGTATGTTACTCGATTTAAGAGATACTTAACATTAATATGCTTAGTTTATTATTTAATTATTCGCAATAAATAAAATTATTATAAGTGATGCGTAAATAATTTTATATGTGAAAGTTTATCAATTATCAGAAGGAAAAAAAGATATAAAAACGAATAAAAAAGATACTTGCAAAAATTAACATTGATGCAGTCTGTTAATGATACATGTAAATAGAATATAAGTGGGTAAACTTTTCCCCAGGGAAATCTATTTTTCACTGTTTTATATTGATCGAAAATATATACGTATCAAATAACATGCAAAAATACCAATTTTGAGTTTAGGAATCTATCCATTGAAAGATACAACCTACAGTGTGGGACAAAATGATAGCACATCTAAAAGAATGCCTTGTATTTTAAAATAAACACAAATTACCTTGCATCTTACTCACCCTATATATTGTATGTATTTATAAGATTACGAATAGCATTGAAATGTTTCCTAGAAGAAAACGTAAACACAAGGTACTTACGACTCGGACAAAATAATAGCACAGTTGTAATATTTTCGTTCTCCAGTCGTAGTTGAGCCGCAGATTGGCACGAACAAGCACAGATTTAGTGTTTCGGTATTGTTTAGTACTCGAATAAATAGAAAATTTAAACAATGGGTCCTGGAAAGTGCTTAAACCAATGTGAAATAGACCGTATTTTATAACTAAGACGAGAAAAATATTCAATTATAAAAATTGCAAAATTAGTGAACAGAAGTCGTAAGGTAGTGTCTAATTTATTAAAAAATCCCACTCAGTATTGAAAAAAGACGACCGCGTATCATCACAAATCGTGAAAGATGGGCCATTTTACGGATTGCTTCGAATTTCAAAGGCATAGCTAGGCAAATTGCTGCAGAAGCAGGTGTTAAAACTAATATCAAAAATGTTAGACGTATTCTACAACAAAGTAAAAATATCAAGAGGCGGAAATTGAAACAACGACCACCAACTTAACGGACAAACATAAATTCGTTTGCAATTTGTTCGCGAATATATTCAGTGGAAGAAAAAGTGGAGGAATATTATCTTTTCGGACGAAAAGAAGTTTAATTTAGATGGTTGGAATTATTACTTTCACGACTTAAGAAAAGAACAATTGTTTTTAACTCGTCGCCAAAAAAAAAAAAGTAATAAACATTATTACAAGCTTAATAAGCAATTGATTGTATTGTAAATAATTAGTTAATCTTCAATTAAAATACAAAAATAAACGATAATACGATGTGTGCTATCATTTTGTCCTACACTGTATATATAAAATACAAACTAAATACTACACATAAACATACAATTTTCTTACACCTCCTTTTGTAGGATCATCCTCCATTTTATACCGACAAAATCTCTTAAAATACGCAGGCAAAATACAATCGTTTCGGAAAACAAAGAAGCTACATAACCCGTACATCTCCAACTCTGTTAGAAAATATATCATCATTTCGTAATCTCTTTCGCCTCATAACTTTTTAACGAAACGATTCCTAAACTCAAAATTGGTAGCATCGTTAAACTCTATATGTACATATATGCTCCATTTATGCTAATAATACCCAGAAATCGTGCTTTATCAGTAAAGACTGACTCATTAGGTATGACCAAAGAAAATAGTTCATAGATAACGAGTAATGAGTTCGTTGGACCCCAGAAAACCGCACCACGAAAATGCATTAGATGTTAGGTTTATTCTTATACATATCTCGTCTGTGGTAGAAACCACATGCGCTCATTCCCGCCAAGCCGCCAAGTCGCACTAGACGCACTAGACACACGTGATACATATGAATGATGTGTACATGATACTTTATTCGTGCTAACTTTGCACCAAATTGTGTTTGTCGGTAATGTTTGGCGCAGCTTAAAATGGCAACTGGGCTCTAGTAGCACGCGCAGCAGAAAAACATGACATATATGTATACATATCACATACACGTATAATATATATGATATATCTATTTAGGTCTATCCTATACTTCCTTTGTGATTTTAGTTAATTATCTAGTTTTGAATATTTCTACATATAAAATTACAACTTTCTCAAAAAAAGAGCAATAGCTAAATATATCATTTGTCGCTTATGTATTTAAAATGCACGCTTTGCTTTGTTTTTTTTTATTCAGTAAATAGACATACCTAAGTTATTTCTTTTAAATAATAATAATAACGCAAGTCGGAAAATTACGTAAATGTTTGCGACGACCGAGCTAAAAGACGAGTAAAAAATATTCTGCATACACATACAGTATATATAACTACATTAAAATGTGCACATATCGCTTTAGTCAAATATACACACAAGTACTTGGCGTAATAATTCTAATTGATTAGCTAGAAACAAGTTCTCCTGTTCTCTGCTTTTGTGCATCTCAACTAACAACGAATGGTGCATTAAATGAAATCATTTTCAATGACCTTTACTCCCATTAACGCACTGTTGACCTTTGTCTGCGACAAATAACAATCAGCTGATGCGATTTCGCAAAAGAGTTAACTTGAAAAAATGTTACAGTAAGAATTTCATTAAATACGTTAGCTACTCGTACTCACACGTTTCATAGAGAAAAATTTCTATTTGTCAAACGTTAATAAAATACTGAATACCAATATGTACGTGTTCGAACTGTTGAAAGACCTCGTATCTGTATCATCGTCGTAAACATTTTGCTCTTATTCGCTTTCTTTGTGTGCTTCGCATTGTTTCTGACGTTGACAGTTATGTTACTCCGAATATGTTTTTTTGGCAGATCGTTCAGCATATTTGCAGTATAAATTAATTATATTCTGTAGTGGATACCATTGTGAAATATGGATAACGTGACAGTGAGTAAACACATCGGATTCCTAATGAAAATATACAATGGTTCTAACCTTAGACGATTATATTAATCAGTGATATTTCTTCTATATTAAAGATCATTAATAATTACATAAGTAAATTACAGTTAAACATTTGGGTCGTGTTTTTTTGGTCCTCCTCTGTAATATAAATGCTTGTTGCTTAATGACCTAAAAAGTAGTGAATGGTTAGATTGTTAGATTCATAGATATGTTTTCTACAATATGCAAATATAAATAGAGTTACTAAAACACTTGAGAAAAGGACCCAAATAAATGGGAAAAGATTAATCTTTGTGTTCAAGTAACAAAGGTAACAACATATTGATATATTTACTTCTCAATTTTAGGGAATTATACGTGCCATATATAAGGGATTTGCTGACAGCTTGAGGGGTGCTGTTGTCCTCTTTTATATGGATAAACGTATTAATGAAAAATTATATAAACAATCTCCTCTTAGATCAGAGATTCATGGAAAAGATACTACACTTATGCATAATCCCTCAAAACATTCTAATCAATTACGGTATGTTATATATACCTCAAAGGAAGTTTCTGAAACTTAATCATGTAAATGGTAAATTCTATGGTACATCCTCAGAGAATCAAAAGTGTTAAAAAGAACAATTCAGTGCTGTGCATTGAATGGCGGTGTATTCTGGGCAAGTATATTGATCTTTGAATGTGGTCTACTTCCATTTCTAAAGTACTTATTGACTATTATATTCGGTCACTCACCGGGTATGGGTATGACTGTATGGTCATGGACAAAACCATTTCTGTCGCTAACATTTGGCACTGTATGGGTACTACCACTATTTCTACTCAGTAGGATAGTTAACAGTTTATGGTTTCAGGTATGAATTATTTTTCCTCTAATTGAAAAGATTTGATTAGTAGCCATTCAAGAAGTTAATATCAAATTCTATATATTTGTAAACCATATAGGACATAGCAGATAGTGCTTACAGATATAGGCAAGGAAGGCCGTTACTTCTGTCAAGTGTGAGCAAGTTGGTAGCAGACACACTTTTCAGTGTATTGGTTCAAGCATTATTTTTGGGTCAAGGAATGTTAGTATCCAGGATTCCATTGCCTCCAATAGGTGATATTCTTGCCCTAATACACATGTGCCTTTTATATGCTCTGTATGCTTTTGAGTATAAGTGGTTCAATATGGGCTGGGAGCTACATAGACGTTTGAGTTTTATTGAAAATAACTGGCCATATTTTGTGGGTTTTGGTCTGCCGTTAGCAGTCCTCACTCAACTGCCGAATTCATATGTAATAAGGTAATTTATTACTTGAAGTTTTACTTCAGCAGAATTGTTTTGGATTAAACTCATCGTTGTTTCAGTGGCTGTGTTTTTTCTATATTATTTCCATTATTTATTGTCAGTGGAAATGAAGCAGAACCTGTCACTGGAGTATGGTACATACTTTCATGTTGTACATTATTTACATTATGTATAATTCAATTTTATGACATTGAATTTATTATTCCAGTGATGCTCCTCTAAAACTATTTTCACCAGTAATTGCAATTGCGAACACGCTATTCAATAAAACAATCGGACCAGCGACTAGACGGTGACATCGATAAATATAATCTACATATTCATTTGAAATAATAAATATGTAGCAATGATCTATTTTTCAGGTTTTTATATATTTTTTATTAGGTATATACTTAGTTAATTTTCATGTTAACGAAATAATCGAAAATACGATTCTTATTTGACTAAATATATTGTTTAAGATATATATTAATGATAGGAAGTTTAAATAAAATTCAAAATTTTGTACATTTTTATCAATTATTAAAATATAAAGGGATATCAGATATATAGTGGGTCAAAAAAGTGTCATCACATCTTTTTTTTTGAAATATTTTTACATACTGAAGTGATATATTAATACCAAGAATTTAGTGTCATTTAACATACAGAAGTAGTATATTTTTTCAGAACACTTAATGCTGTGGTTTAAGGAAGTAAGTAAAAAAAAAACGAAAATTTCATATTCGAAACAATATTGGCATAGTTACGATTTTCGTAGTAAATACATAATTATTTGAATTATTAAATATGAAAGATGTTTTTAATATTTGGCGTGCATGTCTTTGGCATTGATTATGGTTTGTAATCGACTTGATATCCATTCCACGACTTTTTTTGGTAGTTTTCGAAATTTTTGACCATTCTTTTAATAGTGTCTTTTTAAAATCATTCTTGTTACTTATCTTTCTTTTCCGAATCTGTAAACTTAATAGGAGCCATCAGGGCAATATCTGACGATTGTGGTGGTGTAGGAAGTTGTTTGGATACATTGTAGAGTAGCCATTCTCTTATTTTTGTTGTGCTTTTGTGTTTTGCTTATACCCAATTTAGTTACACTGTGTAATAAATTATCTCGCAACATATCAATATAACACTGAGCATTCATTATTCCATTGATAAACTATGTCCGCCACCATATTTTACTATTGGTGGAAGATTCTGTTGGTCTAGCTCGATGTTAGGTCTCCTTCATACAATCCTTCATGAACCAAAAATGTTAAACGCACCCTCATCAGAAAATACTACATTCTTCTAAAAGTCCACTGGCTTATTTATATTAGCAAATATAAAAATACGCTTCTCTCTATCCTTTTCATTTGTAAACGGTTTTTTTCTCACTGCTCTAATCGTAAATTTTAGCAGAAAGCAGTACATCATCGCAATTTGAGGACTAACCTGTTTTCTCCAAGATGATACAGTATTGGCAGATAAACTTTGAACACACAAACAGACTTTTACTGCTCTTATATTTTACCGTTTTCTTACTGTAATCATTCTTGGTTGATCTGATCGTGATCTGTTTTCCATGTTACGAGTTTCTTCATATTTTTGATAACATTTTTAAATGTTGGAATATTTAAATTTAATATTTCACCGATTTTCCTACAACTTTCCTCACGTTTATGCAGAAAAATAGTTTGATCCAGCACTGACAATGATAGCTCGCTTTTCTTATCACTCATATTTTTTGTACCAAGTATAAACGCAGCCTAACTTCGTAAATCAAACGAAGTTATTCATACAAACAAAGTCTGTTTAGCAACTGCAAATCCTACATATCATTAGGGTTGCAAGTATGTCAATACTTTTTTAACTATGAAATTTTTGTTTTTCTTTCATTACATTATTAAGTGTTCCAAAATAATACACTTTTTCTGTATGTTAAATGACACCGAACGACATACTTGGTATTAACATATCACTTCAGTGTGTAAACATATTTTCAAGAATAGAGGGTGTGTGTCGATATTTTTTTGACCCAGTATACATGTATAACGTAAAGTTATATATACAATCGAAGGCAGTAATGTTTACTTTTCGATATAATATTTACTGGAATTTGTACCTGTATAAATATACAACAATTTTTTATTTAATTGAATCTTTGCAAACGTTAACCGACATGTTTCCGTTTTGTATTAGGTAATACTTATAACTTTATCTGTGACAAGGAAAACATAAACAAAAGTGAAAAAGAGTGATAATCCATAAACAATGTAAACAATAGTCGCATATAATTTACTGTGCACTACACTGTTATTTAGTAAGATCGGAAATTGTACTGCTGATGCGAGAAAGAATTTATTGTTAGGTTTCAGGATTCTGAGCTGCCGAATTTTGCTTAACTGTGACTAGTCACTTCTAAGACTTTTATATTGTAACTTGTGATGACAACGTTTATTATAAAAGATTTATCATCAAGGAAGTCAAGTTATTTAACCCTTTCGTTACGCCGGAGTTTTGAGCCGATGCGCCATCGTCAAACGGGACTTCGCGCCATGAGCATGCATTTACCGCGCGGGCTGTATCCGGGATTCTCAGTCTGTTTACCTTATTTTTTCAAAATAAAAGAAAAACAAGTGGCGTGCTGTCGAGTAGTATATGAGGAGCATTTCGCGACGAGCGTATAGTATACACACCCGTAATACGGAAAAAGTTAATTATACTATTCAAAGAATACTAAAACGATACTGTATAAAATATTGAGTATAATTACTCAGATTAAATTAACTTTGAACTCAAACTTGTTGAAAGTATGTCACTTCGTGTATTGTCACAATTAAATGACATACAAATTATAAATAGACAAGATTAAATCGTCTAAGTAATTATATTATTATAGATTACTGTAATTATATTTGTACATTATTTCAACGGAACAATGAAAACTTATGTCGATGGTCAATAAAATCGTTTTATACACTGCAGACTAATAAGTATTGTAAAATGGTTCAATATTTACACATTAATGCTTGATACCTTTTGCTCTCAGTATTATAAAATGTGCCAATAACAAAATGAAAGCTATGCAAGCAGTTCTTGAAGAGTTAAAAGATCATGATCTGAAGGTTCTTCCTTAATCCTATAAGAATTTGTTAAAGCATAATGCCTGTGTAAAGCAGTAAATCCAAGTCCTGGATCTGCTTCTTCATCCATTATTGGACTCATGCCTCTTTCCATTGATTGACTCTTACTTACCTAAACAGAATTAAGAGAATAAAATTCTGGAATTTCAAATACATGGGGACAGCTTGTAAATGACATACTTCGAAACGCTGCTGTTTGTACATGGCCAGCTTACGTGTGCCAGGTGTGCTCTGTATTAGATTTTGAATAGTAGGGTGTGAAATACCAAAAAAGTCAGCACCCTTTGGTGTTATTGATCGTAGTACAGGAGAAATTGCTAACAATAATTTTGAATGGCATTCATCAGGAGTAGATCCTATTTGCTTACTGATGCAACTTTATACCTTGGTTTTGGTCCACCATCTAATATCTTACATGTGTACAGACTTTTTGTTTTTACATCTCTTAAATTAGCGTATACTCTTGTACTGCAATAACCTACTGGATAAATGAGATCTTCTGTGTGATAAGCTATCCTATCTGACACTACTTCTCCTAGAGAGTAAACAGTGAGATCACCCAAAGAAATAGGAAATATAGGTCTCCCATGTACGTCCAATGGTATTAATTGAACTACTCTTCGCATGGTTTTGTTATAACGTTTAGCTTTATTCTTTGTTTCTGAAAAAAAAAGGTAGTTCAAATGATATTTTAGCTGTATTCAAAGCATTATATATTTGAGCACAAGTTCTGGCCAATCAGGGACTTTTATATGGCTGGAATAGAATAAAAATTGACTCTTACTTTAATACCAAATTATAATCATCATACAGTTAGGCGATCAAAATCATATAACAATTTCCTTTTTTATTTTTATTTCAAAGAAAATTAGTCTGTTAGTTGTCAGCAACGTGGTAAAATTTTAAAACAGTTAATTAAACTGTTGTTTATATCTACTTAATAGTTATGTACCATGTACAAAATACTTTGTTTATTAAATTATCCATGTCTTATGCAAGTTCTATAAATGTTACAAAGATATAGTTATGAAATAAACAAATGCTAGCGGAGGTTACCCCTCAGTTCCTTGTTCAGTCAGAAATTGTGACCTCAAATATAATTCATATGATTGATTAGTACCTGTCCCATCGGTCGAAACTCTTTTTTTTGCAGTTTTCTTAGGTGTAGAGCATTCAGGATTAAATGGTATGGAATTAATACTGTTTGATTGACATCTGGCTATCATAGTAGAAGGATCTATGTCCCCCTGTTGTTGACATAATTTACGTAAAAGGTACAGTCTCTCTTCCTTCACGAGCATGAGATTTTCTTGCATCTGTGCAACTTGATCGCATAATGCAGCATTTTCCTGACATTGTAAGCTTAATTATTGTATACGAAGATAAGGTGAAGAAGAAACATTATTGGCTGTCACTAGTAAACATGAACTTACAAAAACTGTGTCCTTTATAATCCTTTTTAACCTTCGATATTTCTTTTGGTACTTCAGATTTTGCTGTAGTTCTGCGTTTTTTTGAAACTCGTTGTAATAATTATCATAAGCGTGAGTCATTTTAAATGCATTGTTAAATCGTACGATGTTGTTACTAGTGTTAGGTTAGGATCAAGACCACGAGTATACAATAACACAAACACTGGTCTAGTACCAGAGCATTTCATGAATGTAGTCGCTTCCGTTGTTGGCGCTGCACATTTCCGTTTATTCAAAATTTGGTAAAGAATCCGGCTACCTTGGAGGATTGAAAGGATCAAACTTTAAACTTTATTCGCGAAAAGTATGAAGTGTGTATCATGTAGCAGTAAAATATAATTTAAAAATTTGTTAAAATGGACGAGTTATGAGACTTTGAATGGAACAGTATAGACAGGAAAAAAAGTCAAGCCATTCGTTGTATCGACGAGAATATTTACGATTCTAGAGATGGATATCGCATGTTATACTTTATTTTCTAACTCTTCGTATAATCTTTATCCATAAATCAAGGAAGACTGACTTGAAATTCAGTCATATAAGTCAACGCGGCCAAGGTTTAGAATCATTATGTCTGTTGTTGAAAATTGATTACAATTGCTACATACTTGATAGCATGAGTTTTCAATAAGGTTTCTGAAAGTATTTAAATGCGGTCAAGTGCTTTGGGAGTTATCGTTGAGCTAAACGTAAAGATATTCACTAAATTAGGAATATATTTGTACATACACTTGCTAGAAATTTCCTTCTACGACAATATCTTCTCAATCAAGATAGTCGAGAAGTTGTAATAGAGAAAACAGGGGAATATTTTTCTGAATGCCAAGAATTCTATGATATGACTCTAGAGCAATTAGTTAGCTATATGTGAAAGTTATGCTGTAAAAAGTTAATAAAAGAGCTATCAACATTAATTGATTCAACCAATCAATTTTTTATTCTCTGAGGTTATAAAAGACAACACATTTTTTGAGAGCCTGCGTCGTAAAAGTATTAACAAATGAGTAAATAAATATTTTGTTCGATTAAAAACGTCGAGAATTTGACGTAACTTTGAAATTATATCTGTAAATAGGCCCAATTTTTTATTTTTGTTTTTTAGTACATTTAGATTCAGACTCTCAGAGATTTTATACTAATTAAAATACATCTTTTAGAGGATTTTTAACGCTAACGCCATATTTCATTCGCAATTTTGTTCAGTGCATTTTCAGTTATGAAAGAGGATTTGCAAGATTTGCTCAATATTTTTTTCGTTACTATTTCTTCTTCTGTTTAGATCCTACGATGTTTTGAAAATTGAAAAAATTGTAAGTATTTATAGCACAATTGTTTTCGCGTATTTTTCTCATGCAGTGAGCTTCCATGTATAATATGGTGTCTAGTATTATAATGCATTTTCTATATTTCAGCAAAATAATATATAAGTTATTTTATTTACGTTTAACAATAAAAAAAATTGTCCAAAGTTGCGTAAACGCAATATTTTATTGCACAAGTACCGAACAAACATTTTTTGATAGCACTCATTTTCTTTCTTTTATACTTTTATAAGTAATAAATAATTTTACGTGTAAAAATCATCTTATTTCACTGCATGGGACTGAATGGGTTAAACAGTGTACTTGGTTTTAATTCTCTACCATTCTTGTAAGTAATCATTATTTTATACATAGGATGTTGACTTTTTCGTCAGTCAGCTGTATTCGTACACAGTTTGAACGTCAGGAAGGGTTTTTATAAAAGGAAAGAGAAGCGGACCAGTTTATTTCGAAAATACGATTTATTAACCTGTCGAACGTAAATTCTGGTGACGCGCGCTCGCTTGCACGTACTGTCCTCTGTCATGCTCGTCTCTACATTCTCACGCACGCGGTATACAAAATCTATATTGTTACTATACTTAAACATCGTGACGCGTAACTTACCCGATAAACGTACACTATCCTAGAGATTGTGTTAATTACTATGCCGATTCCAGTAATCCAGATCGCTCAATCATCCAGTTAGCCCCTACGTCATTATACACAAGTCTCGGGTGACATATGATTAAGGTACATCGAAGTTCTCTCTTGCTCTCTCACACCCTCCACTGTATAATTCACAACCCCATACGCTCGTATAGGTGTCAATTCAAGATTCATTTAACTATAGAATGTGTGCATGTACTGTTATTTTTTGTCACACTTTAAACCCTCGCACGACCAAGTACTGCTAAAAAATAATTAAAGGATCATGTACTGCAGTCATTCTGTTCATCAATACGACGTGTAATCTTCGATAACTTTTTTCATACAAATATAACAAGGTGTTAGTTGCGTAGGTATTATACAGCAACTATATTAATTTATCAAAGCTGTAGCACTTGCTCTGTCTCTTTTGCTTGATCGGTGCAACAGGACTATCCGCATTAGCGATCCTTTACTTTTTTTGAATAGTCTATTTAGGCATACGCAAAAGTAATGACCCCTACATGCAACTCGGTATTGCGGTTTGAGTTTATTTAATCGGCGGAACATTGAATTTTTATGGGGAACTATGGAAATGGAAAATGTGGGGAACTATTTCGACGACAGATGTTGTAGTAATTGGACAATATTCATGAAGATTTTCGACGAAAAACAACGGCCATTCTTTTTGCGTACACCTGATACACATCTCGAAACTGTCAAGCTTCGTAACAGTTTATAGAAGATACGACAAAATCTATTGAGACATTTTCTTTTTCATTTTATTCTTACATTTCATTAAATTGCGAATTGAAAAAGCCTTGCAACTATTAGTGTAGCGTAAACTGATTAAAACGTTAAAACATCTTTACGGCATTACTGCAAAGCAGATATAGATCGGGCATGATGTTGTAAGATATTATTTGTTCCATATGAGTTGTCTCATTATTCTTTTCAATATTTCGAATAATAGATTTACAAGATTGATATCTTCTGTCGTGTCGACCTTATTAATAACGCACCAGAAAACTGCTTTAGCAATCATTGGGTTTTAATATATAAAATTCAATAATAATACAATAATAATTAATATTTTTTTCAGATATAAAAGTAAATAGTGTCTTCCTTTTTTTTAAATATCTTGTATCTGACACAATTTGAATAAGACATATGTAACAATAATAGTGGATACGTTGATATTCCCTTTTCGAATTGATTCATCGTACTTACTCGGTGTTAATCTTAATGCGCTTATTCTGCTCTGTCTGAATGTAGTCTGTTATAAACGTCTCAAGCAGACTAAAACGAAGATATATTGGTTTTAGTGGGCTTTCTTCAGTTTGCTTAATGCGTAGATATATCGCGAAGGATTTCAGCCGGAAGAAGAAACTGACGTTATTATGATTTATCGCGAGAATAAGCAGTATTTCATAGAGGAAACTCGTTACTATAGAAACACATTTTCTTAAAATTATAATCATCAATCGTGATTCGCGTGAACTTTACCGGCGAATACAAATTTTCAGAGAACAATTCATCCAAGAAAGCATTATGTTCATCCATGAAAGTATTGTGTATGTTCTGACTGTAAAAAAATATCAGTGACTGTAAAAAGTTATGATCATCGTGTTGGGTTGTACTCCCAGTTATTGTTGTAAGATGAGAATAATACAGTAATATCATTTCACTTAACCCTTCAACAGTATTTGACGAGTATACTCGTCACGAGGAAATGACCACTTTTTGGATAATGACGAGTATACTCATCATGTTAAAAATAAAATATGTATCAACCCTTTTGCTATACAAATTTAAATTTTAGTAAAAAATTGAAAAATACGTTTCTTTTCTTATTAGAATAAAGGAATCAAATGGTTACAAGTTACCAAAATAGATATACCATTGTTAAAGGATTAAGAAAATTCGATCGACATCGATGATATTTAAAAAAAAACAATTATAGACAAGAATACAGTGTTGTATCGTATTTACTCCTGTAGTTTCGTGTATCTTTCGTTAACATACATTTCTGAAAATTAAAGTGGCCTATTTCCACGGGATAAAGGAAAATGAAACCAGTGTGTTTCAGTGTACCGAATGTCTAGAAAAAAAAATTCTCGGTTTACATTTTCCTTTTTCTTGCAGTCTTGATTGCATTGCAGTCTTTTTACATCTAACATTAATTTAGTTATTTCCTTTGATAATTTACAATTTTAGTAATTGTCGTAATGCACAGTTTGACGAAAACTCGGCTCTAATTCGAAACAGTTTAGAATATCGTTTTCAGTCACGAAAAAAGAAACGAATCCGTACGAATCCCTTGGTTTAAACGGATCCCGTTTAAATATTCAGCGATCGTTTCGGTCCCCGAATGATTGCACGGCGGATGGTTCGTTGCTATCCGATACCGATGAATTAATTTCTTAATCACACTTTGCAATCTCGTTCACTGGTCGCAGTTTACAACGTTTCCTAAATCACACGTTATCCAAGTGTCGCTGGTACATCGGTTACAGTTGCAATTAACAATTAATCGTTGATCGTTCTCAAGGAGAGCGAGTGGGAGAGGGAGAGACTGATATTGGCGTTCGATGGCCACCTAGGACATGTAAACGATAGATCGATTATTTACGAGCGATGAACGCGTTCAGAACCGATATGGCCTCGAGTCGAAAAGAGAAGAATTCTCGTTGGTTTTCGAAAATTCTCACTGAAAGTGATCGATTTTACTTGTGTGTTTGACACACTCCGTTCTCCGGTCATGCGCGAGTTCCTCCGTAGATTCAAACGGAATGACACCATTCGTGGAAAGAATTTAGTCAGATATACGTAATTTAAGTACGCACGACAGATAGAGCTGTTTCTTGGGCTTCTTTTTCATTTTTCTTTTTCTGAGTTGGTTTTTACATCGGAATTCAACTACGTACAAAAAATATCCTTATCGGTTACGCACGGTTCATGGTATGTACAGTGTAGCTACGTGTTCGTCGAATGATTGTGGCGAGTGCGTGTGCGTTCTGTACAAACCGGATAGCCTAACATCCAAAGGAGAAAGATCACAATTTTATGAAGACGCGCATGGTTTCCGTTAAGTTACATGTCAACACACGCTCTCTACAGTGGCTCGCGAAA